GGACAAAGATCGAAAGTTCAGTGAGGGTAGGGCGGTTAAAGTTTGAACCAGGGACAGGGGTACTGCTTCATAGTAACGCAGTTGGTCTTTAATCTATTTTTAACAAAAACCATTAATCACTATTTGATATATTACGCTATTGCGCGATACCCTATTCCCTTCATATTGGCCCGTCTGACGGTTGCCTGAGCGTATTAATGCCTTCTCGGAGATGGTCATTTTCTCTTTCGTAAAATCACTGGGTTTTTGCAGATCGTCCGCGAATTCTCAGTGCAGTTACGCAGATGTTGGCGGCAGCAGTAGCAGCTCGACGCTTCCTTCCGATGCGTTCCGGATTTCTCAACCCACGCCTGATGATGCTGCGCTCCGTTTCGGCATCAGTGCCCGATCGTCCCCAGTTCGATCCCATCGTGTAAGTTTTGCCATCCTTCAATACAATTCATTTTTCTCATCGGTCAAGCTTCCCCTATACCTTGGAGGTGTTCTTGGGGACGTTCCACCGAAATTACTGTACAAGTTTTCCATGTGATTTCTGACTCCGATGAATTCATTGTTCAGGTAAGCCGATTGTAGCATCCAGGTTGATTTTGGAAGCCGAATTGGCGAAGGTACGATTGAAATAAAATGAAGCATGCTAAATGTAATTAAGTCAAATTTTTGATAGGGGAATGACTAAAAATTGCATGTGTGTGTGAGGTGTTGAATGGGAGGGGTGAAAATTAGGTTTTTTTAAAGGAAATTGAGGAGAATGGAGGTAATGATCAATCCGTAATTGTAGCGACTAATAGTGACCAATGGTAGAAGGACACAAGAGGAAAGTGGTTGGGTAAGTGAAAAGATAGTCATATAGGTGCCTATTTTGTGACAAAGGTATGGACATGTGTTGTGAGTGGGTGAAAAGGAATATGTAAATGAGTATGCGATTGAATACAGAAAGCAAGAACAGTATAAGGAAAGAAGGCAAGAGTGAGATAAGCCGGTTCGGTTCATTAAGTCATATACATCTTATAACAGAACCTCGTCAGTATGACGGTCGCAGTGTGTAGTGAAAAAAGAAAAGAGAAAGACGCAAGGAAAAAGGCAAGAGCTACGATTGTGGGATTTAGCGGGAGTAAGAATGGGATGAAGAAGGAATGGATAAAAGAGAGAAAAAAAAGATTTAAAAAAGAAAATTTTAATATAGAAAGAGAAAGAAAGAAAGGTAATATAAATTT